GACATTCAGCTCAGCAGAAATGAAGGTAAATGAAGATTTTTATCCTAGTCGAGCACGCGTGTGACCTTGCTCCCGCCCCGCCGAGGGTGTCGATGTGGTACTGCGTCCGTGCCGCGTGGCCAGGCTGGATCGCTTGTGCTCTGCTCGCCCTGGCCGCCCGCCCGCCTCTCCGCTCCCCTCTGCCCGGAAGGGCGATACCTGACTGTCTGGCTCGTGGAGGGCGTGCGCCAGGCTGAGCTCAGTGGTCTTCAGCCCGTGTGTAACCGTGAAGCTGGTTTGGATGGGTGGGCTGTGTCATCCAGGTAGCGAGTATCTGCGTTGAAGAACTAGCCGAAAACAAATCGATAAGTTGAGGCGCATCTCAGATGGAGCTTTGCGGCACAAATGAGCACGTCTTCTTGTAATGCCTCTGGCTGGGAAGAGGTGCTCCTAAGTGTCCTTCAGCTCTAGATGTGTAACGATGTTGGGAGTAGTTGTATTTAGCCAATGAAGTTGCAGTAGTGCACGTTTTTTAGACCTGGTCAAAGTGTATGTTATAGCTTTTTCAAGTTTACTCTCATCAGAATTTCTTTGGCTTAACGTGGCTTGACAAGGGTGCCTTGCCTTGATTTCATCAGCCCCTTTCTTCTCCCCCTCCCTGAGCCTGCACAGGCCATGTTCTGTCTAGTCCTGGGGTAGGGACCATCATTTGGTTGCCTCAAGGGCTTGGGTTCAGTTCAGCTGGTAATGTTGAGTCGTAGGTGAGATTTCAAAAGGTGCTTGCACCAGTTTGGGATCACGGGGAAGCGTACGTCACTCTCTGAGGAGGAGGAGGGCTTCATCTCTTTGGGAATGGAGTTGCACTGATTTGATCCTCCTAAAATCCTCCTTGCAACTGTTGCTGGAGCGGCTGAGCTCTCCTTTCCCTCTTCTGCCGTACTCTCTTGACCCTGGACAACAACTTCCAAATGTGAAGTTTTTCAAACCATTCAAAGAGCTCTGGTATTCCTTAGTGGGCTAACAAGAGTGGGCAGCTGGATGAAGGATCTTCAGAGTCTTTTATTTTAACTTCCCTGTACTGACCAGTTAACACTGGCTTAGACCTTGAAAATCTATGGCAAGGGTAGCGCCCGATAGCTGAGAGGATGCTTATCTTGGCTTCTAGCTTTGGCTTTTTCAACAATACGTATGAAATCTCTTGGAAGCTCTTCTTACGTTTAGCTTTTTATCATTGACTTAAAGGGCAGTATGTAGAGTTCACTGAGAATGCTCTTGTATGAGATCAAGGAAAATATCTTTTTATTTTTCCTTTTTTCCTAAGCAGAGTTTCTTTGTTTGGTGGGTATTGTGTATGTGTGTGCCATTCATGCTCTGCTGTGTGTGTGTGTATAACAACCCACCCAGAAGACTCCAGAAAACCTCAAATTATTTTGGCTTAATCAAACTGGAGGAGAATATGGTTGGTCCTGTCCCCCTTTGCTCACTCAGATGTTATTGCCGCTCTAGTCCCAACATGGAGTTTTGTGTCTTTTGAAAACTCCTTCCTTGTGCTCACGAGTGGTTTTTCTTCTAGCGCTGGCTGCCTTACTTCGTGATGGTGAAAATCTGGAGGACCTTATGAAACTGTCCCCAGAAGAGCTGCTCCTAAGATGGGCAAACTTCCACTTGGAAAACGCAGGCTGGCACAAAATCAATAACTTAAGTTCGGATATCAAGGTAGTGCATGCTCTCCCGGCCTGTGTGTGCGTGGGAAAAGGTTGGGAGCAGGCTGGGGCTGCGTTTGCTGCTGTAAATGAGCCTTTAAACCATAGGTGGGACCTTTCTTAACCTTGTTATGACGATCTCAGCAGGTTTAACAGGGGTCTTAGTATGGTATGTTTAGGGTCCTACGCTACTCTTCTCTCTGTCTTGGCATGAGACTGAGTCTAGCGCTGAGCTTTTCCGAAAGGTTTCTCCAGTCTCAGTGGGGTCCCGCTGCGAAGCTTGCACACGCTATAATTTTGTATCAGTAATAGTAGTTTGCTACTTTTTGGTATATGTTCTTAAGACATCTTTCTGCTGGAAGTGCTTTTGCCCCCCCTTCCCCCCCAAGGGCCTGTAAAAAGCAGTGTGCTGCAGCTCACCTAGAAAGAGCAGCGGTGACCTTATGAGCAGAGATGAGTGGGTTATTCACAGTGTGCTCACATGGCCAGCGATCTGGAGCGCAAGAAACGAGACTAAAGCGGGTTGTAGACTTCGTTCAGGGTAAAGGACCGTTGGAGAAGAAATTTGATATTTGAGATGCATGGGAAGCCCAGAGTTGCCTGCCGTGTGCACAGACGCACAACTTGCTTCCAACTTCACAAACTACTTGCAGTGCAGCTGATAGCTGCTGGCTTGCCCCGCGCAGCCCGTAGGCTGTCAGGATGCTCTGGGGTCCTTTGCAGTGCTGGGAAGCGAAAGGGTTTATAGCTGACCGGAAAAAACAAACAAACAAAAAAAAACCCCTACAATTATTCGACTTAAATTTTTCTAACCTCTTCCCTTTCTGTTTCCTTTTCTGCTGCCTGGATTTCTGCCATCATGCTCTTTTCTTTTCATTGTCTGTCAAGCTTACCGATTTTGGTAATTCAGTAAAGGTACATAAGCCAATTATATGCAGTGACTTGCTTAAGATGAGATTGAAATATGTTGCTACCGGGTATTCGATGCTGTGTGCCAGACCTGAGGTGTGGTGTGTTTTGCTTTTTTTTCCCCTCCCCTCTAGGACTCTAGAGCTTATTTCCACCTTCTCAATCAAATTGCACCAAAAGGGCAGAAAGAAGGAGAGCCTCAGATTGACATTAATATGTCTGGTTTCAACGTGAGTATTCGGGCTGTCTTATCGCCCTGCTGCATGACTGCAAGCTGTGTGTGACCCCATGACATCTAGATAACCTGGCATCTTGATTTCAGGAAGCCCGTGCTAGAGTGTCCGGTGGGCATGTGCCCACCTTGGCTATGTGCTGAACGAGTGTTTGTGGCAGGCCTGGTCATTACTAGCTGATTAACAGCATGCACGACTGGGAAATCTTTTGTGTTTTGCTCCATTTGGGAGCATGCAGGGCTCTGCCCGTGAACCACCATCCTGTAAAGTTTGAAAGCACCGTGCTGGGAAAAACACGGGAAAGAAAGGAGTGTCAAAACAGGAGAAGCATGTCCACAGTAGCGTGGATTAACGCGTGTGGTTCCTCCATTCCTTTGATTAGCAGCGGGTGCCTAACGAAGGCTGGTGGAGCGGCGGCGTTGCTCCAGGCCAGGAGCTTCCTTGCTGCTCTCTGCCCTGACGGCTCCTGTCCCTTGTGTCCCCCGCAGGAGAAGGACGACTTGCGGAGAGCGGAGTACATGCTTCAGCAGGCCGACCGGCTGGGCTGCCGGCAGTTCGTCACGCCCGCCGACGTGGTCAGCGGCAATCCCAAACTGAACCTGGCCTTCGTCGCGAACCTATTCAACAAGTACCCGGCACTTACCAAGCCTGAAAACCAGGATATTGACTGGACTCTACTGGAAGGTGATGGCTGCGTCAGTCACAAGATTAGCAAACGCGTGTATTGCAAGAGGCTGCTCCCGGCAGAGCGTCACGGGAGTGACTCCTGTTATTTGCGGCTTTGGGGCTGAAGCGGTTATTCACTTGTTCTGCGCAGACGAGTAGCGTACCCGAGGGCCTGTTCAGCTGCCCTGACCCTGTCGTGGGCTCTGAACTTGCAGGAGGATTTCCAGTGGCTCGTTAGGGTCCGTGCCAGGGCTGGGCAGTTGGTTTTGCAGTTCCTTGCCTTGCAGGTAGGAGCCCCTCAGCCGTGCAGCGAGATGCGCTTGGGAGCGCTTCTGCAAGCTGTCGGCAGCCCTGAGGTTAGGGCTTGGACAGCAGTTAACTCGCTCCTGGGTGAAACGCCTTACTGCTACCTTTTCTTGCAGAAAGTGCAAAAGTCAAGCCCTTTTGAGACCTAGGGAAACTAATGTAACATCCGAAACAAGATGTCAGGGCAACCTGGTTCCTCTGGTGGAGTATCGTAGCAGTAATAGTCTCTTTTCCCTTTGAAATCATAAACACTAAGTGGTGCCACTCGGACCTCCCTGTCTTGCAAGGCAGAAAGCCCTCTGAGCTCTTGGGAAGTTTCACGTACCTATTTTCCTCTCCCTAGGAGAGACGCGGGAAGAACGAACCTTCCGCAACTGGATGAACTCCCTTGGTGTGAACCCTCACGTAAATCACCTCTATGGGTAAGTGCCTCTCTCTGGAGAGACCCAACAGCATTCAACTGAAGATGTTTCCGTGCCAGTGTCCCCATCTCCTGCAGCAGCCAAGGGAAGAGCTTGAGAAAGGGTGTTTGCAGGGAGAGGGCCAGGCTTACTGCACCTTCCTTGCAGCCCTTAGCTTAGAGGTTTCTGAGCCAGGACAGGCAGACCAGGCTTAAAGGAATTATCTGAGCTGAAGGATATGCTGGAGTGACTGTGTTAGAGCAACTGGACCTAGACTGCATGTTGCCTAATTTTAGGCCTCAACTTGAGGCCTCCTATTTAGGAGGCAAAGTACTCTGGGCCCCTGTAGTCAATGGAGAGAGTTGGGCACCTTTGGATTTTAGGTGGCAGCATTGTTCTCTGGATCTGTTGCTGACTGCTGTGCTAAAATCGGCTGTAACTTAGCAGCCAGCTATGTTAAACATGGAGCGCTTCTGCTCCAGAATTTATAAAACGCTTTGAAAAATGTTTTTTTTTAAGGTTGTTCAAGTTGCAACAGACTATAAAGAGTAGTGATTTTTCATAATGTGACAAAGTCAAAGTGGGCTTATGTTTTGCAACATCAGGATTAACTGATGTTTTCCTTTTCAGTGATCTGCAAGATGCACTTGTAATACTACAATTATATGAAAAGATCAAAGTTCCTGTTGACTGGAATAAGGTTAACAAGCCTCCATATCCTAAGCTTGGTGCAAATATGAAAAAGGTAAGCATTTCAAAAGATTTTAGAAGAAGCCATGGACGCTAGGAATCCGAGTAAATGCATGGTATCTGGAAATTTCAATTTGAAGCTTCTGGTTGAGGGTTTCTGAGTGATTTTTTTGTTTGTTTGAACTCCTTTCCTGTGCAGCTAGAAAACTGCAACTATGCTGTAGATCTGGGAAAACATCCAGCTAAATTCTCCCTGGTTGGCATTGGAGGACAGGATCTGAATGACGGAAACCCAACGTTGACACTAGCCTTAGTCTGGCAGTTGATGAGAAGGTAAGGCCTGTCTCAGACACACAACGCTTGTGAAGAGAGTACAAGATTTAGGAAGATTATTTTTGCCAGGAGGCCCCTGCTGCACTGGAGCAGGGCACCCAGAGGTGGTAAAACTTCCATCTGTGGAGATTTTCAAGACTTGGCCAGACAAAATCGCAGTGGAGCTGGTCCTGTTGCATGTGGGAGGTGGACCAGTGACCGATAGAGAGCCCTTTCGTGGCACTGTGAACATCCTGCCTCTCCAGCCTGCCAGAGGCCGATCCAGGTGCTGATACCCGAAACAGAAAAATTACCGAACTTCTGTATGTTAATTTTTAATAGGAAATTGTGAAGAGAAGCATTTCAGGGCAGCTTTATAGTACCTGTCTCATTGGAATGGGGGAGCAGAGGAGAAACTTAATGACAGATCGTAAAATTGATACCCCTTATTCTTATCTTGTTCTGAAAAGCTCTCTTAAGATGCATATGCACACACATACATGTGTACATGTATATGTATTTTATATACCCACATGTATGTATATGCATGCATACATACATACATATGGTAGTTTGGTATTAGAAGTCAGAATTCTAACTCTTGAATTCATCCGTACCTTCTAGGTATGTGTAACCTCTCTGAAGCAAAATGTGTCAGCAGTCCAACACTTTAGCAAGTGACCTGAGCCCAGGCAACTTTTTAGCTCAGATTAAAAGACCTGAAAGGCTAGTAAGACTAAATACTTTAACAAAAAGTTTACTTCAGGGAAGATAGCTAAGTCTTCCTCTTTGCTAAAGCAGTAAAAATATGCAGAGCAGAGGCTGAAGGCTTTCTATGCTGCCGTGAGCCCATCTCACACCCTGGCTGCGTGCTAGCTGGGACTTTTTTAAGCCCTGCCTAGTCCTGTTTCTCTCTTCTGGTTCTCAGGTACACGCTGAATGTCCTTGAGGACCTCGGTGATGGTCAGAAAGCGAACGATGACATTATAGTCAGCTGGGTAAACAGGACCCTGAAAGAAGCTGGCAAGTCCACTTCCATCCAGAACTTCAAGGTGCAGGTTCCCCTCTTGCATCCGAAAGAAAAGGGACGCATGTGCTGTATGTATGTCCTCTGCAGCTGGAGGATGGCAGCGGCACATGAGAAGCGGGTATAAGCAGGACAGGATTCAGCCTATGCTGGCAACGAAGTGTCTTCAAGCTACCAGAGAACAGACTTTTCGGACTGCCCGTGCAGTGGAGTAGCGGTGGGGTGGCCCAGCTGATGGGGGGAAGCAGAGGGTGGGTGATCATCCTGTGGAATCTGCAGGTGCAGGGGCTGGAGCTGGTGAGTCTTGGTGGGTTTGAAGTCCCTTGAGGTCTGGTTGGCAGGACAGACCTGCCAATCAGTCATTGCTTTGTGTTTTCACACTCCCAACAGCAAGCTGGAGTAACGATCTTGTAGCGTTGCTGAAGGAGAAGCAGCAGTTCAGTTTGCCTGTGGTCCAGCTGGGAATAATCCCTGATAGCACTGCTGCAAAACAGCTTGCTAAAAGTCTTCGTTGCACATTCCAGAGCAGTTGAATTAAGGTGAAAAGTGTGCTAAGGATTAGACATGTATTTTTACTTGTCTCCTCTTCTTTTTTTTTCTAGGATAAGACTATCAGCACAAGCTTGGCAGTTGTGGATTTGATTGATGCTATACAGCCTGGTTGTATCAACTATGACCTTGTAAAGACTGGTCATCTATCAGAAGATGACAAACAGAATAATGCTAAGTAAGTTTGCTAGCTTGAAAGCTGCATTGCATCAGAAGAGTGTAACTTCTATGCCCTGACCTTAAGCTGCAGGTGTTTTTACTATATTACTGTGGCTTTCAATCTCTGTTAAACCAGTGCCTTTCAGACAGGCAGCACTTCTTGAAATCTAATTCCTGTCCTTGTCAGTAACCCTGGCGGAGTTGCTTGCTGGGCTCTTCAGTCTGCTGAGAGAAATGCAGAAGAGCCCAAGCAGTTCTTAGTAATGGTATTCTGCATCTCATCTTTTTGTTCAGGCATATGAAGTGCTCAGCCAGTAGCTTGGGGTTTTGGAATTGAACCCTGGAATGAGTTTGTACGTCTCTTGTCTTGTTGAATCATCACAGGTTTTCAGGTTTCAAGTATGACTATTAAAACAGGCCTTTGAGATGTGTTTTCTGTGGCTGCTCTGCAGTAGCAGAATAACAGCAGTATTTTCTTGCAGATGGTAGTCCTGCTTGATTATTCCTTAAAAAAGCAAACACAGGAGGAAAATGTAAATATTAGCTGATTAATCCTTGGTTATACGTGCTAACTATTTGCCCCAGCAAACATTAATTACAGTTTTTAACTGTTAATAAAATGGAGTTGACATTCAAAGGTGAATTTGTGCACGTATCAAAGACATTTCCCTGTACGTGGGGGGAAAAGAACATGGCAAAGGATTAAAATACATTTTATAAAACAAATAGATTTGGTGTGTGATTGGACTAGTGCACATCTTGGAGACTAAGCTGAATCTTAATGAAGTGTAGTGGGAGGTGAAATTCTGTGGAACAGAGGAGGAGCTGACTTGTCTTTTAAAGGTAGCAGTCCATAAGTGCTAATACACTTATCTTTTCATGGCGAACAGGTATGCTGTGTCCATGGCAAGAAGAATTGGTGCCAGAGTTTATGCCCTTCCAGAAGACCTCGTGGAGGTGAAACCGAAGATGGTCATGACCGTGTTTGCCTGCTTGATGGGCAGAGGAATGAAGCGAGTATAAAAGGGTTGATACACGTAAAAAAACAAAACGCAACAAAAACCCAACCTGCCACCCTGGGTGCATGAGTAGCAGATCAGCTGTGTCCATGTTGAAATGCTGTTGGCCTAGGAACTGCTGAGTTCAAAGGACTTTGTTTTGCTTTGCAAGACAAACTCTTATCAAATTCTCAGGGAGAGGAGTTTTAACCAACAGACTTGCTCTTTTCCCGAAGGAAAGTCTAACTTATCAAGAGCTTACAGAAATGCATTCATAGCAGACCAGCATCTTGCAAAACTGCTCTGGAGCTGTTTTCACCTCATTATTTCTCAGATGCTTGGTGCGTGTTTTTTTTTTTTTCCCCTGGTGGTTAGTATGAGTTGTAATGGAAATAAACCTTATTTCTGCCTGCAGTCCAGTTTAATTTGTATTATACGGTCCAAGCATAGTCTAGGTTCATTAACTTTGCAAACAAAGCTACAGTGCAAGTTGGGACCTGCAGGCCAGCTCACAATGTTAAATGAGAAATGTTTATAATTTTGAAGATGGGTCTTCCTATGGTATTCTCTGTACATGGTGCTTTTTTATAAACCTGACTGTTTTGATTACTTTGCGAATAAAGCATGGCAGTCTTTTTTTCTTAACTGCTTATATAAATTTTTAAGTTAGACTACATACGAGAATGCCACCATCCTTGGGCCTCTTGTAGTAACTCAGATACCATGTTGCTGATGGCACAGTTGCATCTGAGAATGGAGATGAATGCATTTTTGTATGCATCTTGTTTCAGTTGTGTGCACCTAGAAAATAATTTTTACAAAAATCTGCATGAAAACTATAACTTTTTTATTTAAAATGCTGTTGGATATAAAACCATAATCCGTTGTGGGGAGGTTTTGTGCAGGGAAGAGGCAAATGTTATAAACAGCAGGGTTCAATAAACTGAACGGTAAATGTGCTGGAACATAAAACTATTTTTGCAGATAAAAGGAGTGTTGTCGCCAAAGAAGGAAGAAGCTGTATCCATAGGAGTTAATATTATCTTGCTTTGGCAAGCTATTTGCTATATTTTGAGATCATATTGCTATTCTGAGCTATTCAAAGTGATGTAATATGGTGGCAAAGCATTAGTTGAAATAAAAACATTTAAATACAAGTTTCCCTCCTTATTTGCCTTGACCCAGCGATTGCTCTTAGGTCGAAGCTCATTTGCTTTTAGCCCAACTTTGGTTGATCTTGATGTTTTTTGCACAAGGTCCACTGAGCTGTGCGACTGCCTTGAGTCAGGGTGTGTTCGAGCAATTGCACAGGCAGTCTGCTGAAGTGACTTTTAAAAAGGGTGCTGGTGGTACAGTTATACTTGGCTTGCATTTTTGCCAGGCTTGCCTTTATATCTGCTTCCCAAAGTCGTTGCCGCTTGTGTTGGCGTCTCTCTGAGCGCCCCATGATGCCGCCTGCGGTGAGGAGCCCCTGCTGCGGCAAAGCCTGGGAGCAGAGGAGGGAAAGCTGCTTTGTGCACCGCAGACCTGCAGTCCAGCCTCAGGCCCAGAAACCACAGGACTGTCAGAACAACTTGTGTGGGTTTGGTGTTGTGCAAACAGACTTCCGTGACCTTAACTATTTGGTTGTCCCCTTCCTCCTGACCTGTCTGCAGCTACAGCGTTGGGTTTTTTTTGGCAGTGAAAAGGAGGTGCGCGTTGTGCAAGAGGCAGGCTGCAGCTTGCCTGCTGCTGTGGCTGGAATGAGCTTGTCCATCAGCACAGACGGCACGTTGCTGCCCAGCCTTCGCTGTGGGCGGCGGCGTGGGCAAACGAGGAGGCGCAGCTCTAGGTTCCATCATTTTAAGCCTCCTCATTTTAAGTCAAACGCTTGGTGGAGACTGTTGGAACCGCGTTAGCAAATATGTCATTCTCCATCCCATGCTGCACATCATCCTACCGCATTGCTGGTGTGAAGGAGCTCTGTTCTGGTAGTGATGCTGTCAGTGTTCCTGAACCATGTGGCATGGTTGTGCCCTTCCTTTTTTTCTGGTGATTTTAGAAAAGAAGGTGGGGAGGGGAGGAGGATAGGAGGGGGACATCTCTTTCCATGATTTTGTCCTCCAGGAGAAACTGCAGCTGCAGCAGGAGTTCCTGCTGAAAGCAATTTCTTCTGCAGCAGGTGTTGTCTAGATGGGCTGGAGCCCTTGGTAAGAGTCGCACATCTTCCCTTCGTTTCCCCTTGTTGGATATTTCACCTAATTGAATGTGATCATCTTGGCCCAGTTGCTGGGAACCTTTGCGGTGCGGCAGGGAGATCAGTAGGCGCCTCGTGACAGCTAGCAGTTAGGTGTAGCGCAGGCATCGCCCTCGGCGCTCGCCGAGCGTGGCGTACTGCTAACCCGAGCGCGCTCTTGGGCAGTTTGTGAAGCAGAAGCTCCTGCTGCGCGAGAGCTGTGTCTTGGCTGTTGGATGAGAGAAGAGCCCCTTGTACAGTGGCTGGGGATGAACATGCCTCTGCTCCCATACACAAGCCGTGGTCCATGCAAAATGGCTCCAGAGCCCCTCGGTGAAACCGCAGGTGGCCCGCCTGGCCTGGGGGAATAAGAAATGGTGGTGTTGCTTGCAATTTTTCCCGAATACGGTGCGTACGGGTGCTCTCTAGCCCATGGGGAACTGCAGAGCGCCTGTTCCCCTGGTTAGCTGGGATTTTGGTGCCATCCAGGGGCAGATGCTGGGTACTACAGTGAGCATCGCCCGGGGTGTGAGCAGTCGCTCGTGGGCCGCGTTGTCCATGGTGCGAGCGCTCTCTTGGGGACCCCAGTACTGCGATGAGCCGAGTGACCTGCTCAAGGTCTGGGAGCTGGAAGTCGGCAGTAATTTGTGTCCCGACGGCCTGGGAGCGACAAGTGCCTGGAGGGCCTTAATGCTTTGGGAACAACTTTTGTTGTTTTTGTTGTCCAACTTTTTAGAAAAACATTTCTAAATGGCCCCCCCCCCTTTTTTTTTTCTCTTCCCTTGCACAGTTTGAAAGCGAAGGAGAGAAGGC